AGATGCTAAGGACTTGTAAACAATTGCTCCTTATGATATTTAATTGCAAGAAAATATCTGACGAATCAATTTTATGTTGTGCCTCATGAAGATATGAAATTAAAACCGTGTAACTGAGCTAGCTTATACTTTTGGGTTTTGAAGTATTTGTCGGTGACTTGACTTTTGGTCTGTACTATGTATAATCTTACTCCATTCCATAGTTAGAGCTTAGTTTAGATTTTTTCTATAAAAACAATATCATTTTTTTTTTTTTTTTGGCAATAGGTTATGGTTCGTTGCGGATGCCAAACCTTGAAAAAGGAGTGGATTTGTCGGGACGTGCAAGCTGCTTATCGTGATTCTGGATGTGATTCCAAAGATATCCCTAAGAATCAATATGGACTCGGGCTTCTTCCTTGTGATAATGAATGCAAGAGCAAAAAGAAGGCTCTTGAAGAAGCACAACTACATTTTCGCCAGCCCAAGCCTCAGGAGGTATAAATATATTTTGTTTCTTAATCACAAGTTCTTTATGTCAATTTCAACAATCCAGAATATAAAAAGGCATAGCATTATATAGAAAAATCGAAATAAAAAATGCTTTTTTTATGATTTCAACAAAACCCATCTCAATAATAATTAAAATGAAAAAAAAAAGAAGAAAATCATGGGGTTAAAGTTAATCGAAATTTTTGGAGATAGTTGAGCTTTCATTGTACTATCTTCACTATGTAAGCCCAATTTGTTTTATGTTTTTGCATTTAAGTCGTTTGGAACATCTCGAGACGAGATTTTATCAGCTGATACTTAATCTGGCAATGATTTTGTCTTTTTTTTTTGAAGGATAAGGAGTCTGATGATGCTAACACTGTAAAGAAACGTAGAAGACGAAAGCAAAGAATACACGAAGAGCAGAATATTTCCAAAGTGCAGGTTTGGCTATATTCTTAAGTAAATATGCTTGTAACTTTTCTGCTTTTGATAATATCCCTCTTGATAGATTGATTNGGGTGCAGAAAATAATTGCTGTGACTAAACGGGTTTTGCTGATTCTTATCATTGCTGTTATTGTAATTGCTTGTGCATATTTTGGGTATGGTGGTCTCATGTGGCTATCCGATTGGATGAATGAATATGAAAGTCGCCAAAGAAGAAGATTCTCTCGAATCTAGTTAAAAAGTTTTAGGTTGCAATTTTCTGAAAATGAACAGAGCTTAAACCTGAATGATGTTTCCTTTGTATCGGCATTTTTTATTTTTATTTTTTTGGTTATTTTTATTCACATTTTTATACAGTAATGTGAAGTTATGAGTTATGACAATGGTTAAGATGACTGATCTTAAGGTTGAAGTTCAGTTTATTATTTTTTCCTAGTATTTTCTCCAGGAGTTTTTCTCTAGCAAGGAGAGTATATGCTTAAAAGTTTGGACCATAAATTGTAATGTATTATTTTAACCTTATGAGCACAAGAAAGTGTTTGTTTTATAACAAGGTTTAGACTTTGTGTTTTGATTTNTGTAAAGTATTTTCTTTTTGTATGTGTGTGTTCACCAAGTTCAGGTCATTCCTTTACTTAAACAGTTAAACGAGTCAAACTCGAACAACAGATTGAGTTTGTTTATTGAATGAGTCGAGCTTAGATTGTCTGCGGACGAGTCGTTCTTATATATATACATTTATTATTTTTTATGAATTTTAAGTGAAATAGTCGTGTCGAAACCCTCTTTTTGTGCCGCGCGCCCAATATGGAGTTCCAAAGATTAATGATAAATCAACCCTTAGAGCCCCTTCTATCTTCCACCTTTTGTTCGTTCCTGTTTTCCTTTCCTTTCTTCGAAACTTGTTCGTGAACGAACATATCATGTTCGTGAATAGCTCGTTTTCAGTTTTAAGTTCATTAAATGAGCCAAGATGGGTTTTCACAATCACAAGCTCAACAGAAGCTCCTCGACTCGACGTGATTTGAATTATATTTATTTTCCTAGCTGTTTTTCTTTCTTTGTATTCGTTTTTGCCTTGCCTTGCAGTTTTTTCACATTGAATTACCCAAAAAATAAAAAAGTTAACTCGTATTAATCATCTGTTTTCACTCAGTCTTCCACATTGAATTTTAATCAGTTTATTGCCGCTAATCCATCAAGATAATACATAAATTAAAGTAAATTATATTTAAAGTTTGATTAATTAATTTTTTTTTTTTTTTTGGGGTACAATGATTAATTTAATTGTTAATTGCCGGTTATACATACGTTAAGATACGATTCCATTAACTGTAAGCCGGGTCAAATTGAGGGCCTGGGGACAAAAACAGTCTATCCTGGTCCTACACGTGTCAATATCGTGAGGGCTTAACTGCTACAATTGACTGTTTTTAATGGGACCCTAAAAGTCAACTCTCATCCAACGTTTATAATGACAACTCAAGTCGGGACCACCATTGTTACTCGTTAGATTACGTTGATCCTAAAACTTGGATGATATTAACGTCCCATTTTAAATACTCCTTTTTATAACGTTATTAAATAAAATAAAAAATCTCTTTATAGTCTGCTTCATCATTTCATGGCACAAAACAATTTTCATCCGTTTTAATCTAATAATATAGCAAGATGAAATGTTTGATGCACAAGGTTTTTCCTTAACTAAACATCGAGTCGAGTACAACTCTTGTTTGACACTTAAATGGATATCCTTTAGTAAGAATTGAGTTCGAGTAAAATTATTGGTCTTATTTGATACTTAGTTGTCATTGTAGCTTAATAAATTAACAATTTAATTATGTGATTGGATTAGCCTGTTATACAAAGTATTTTGGTAAATATATAATTAATTTGATACGTAAAATATAACTAATTTTACATTTCTCCAACTAGCTATTTCCAAGATGTTGCTTACCAAATAATTAAGTTAGAGGTTTTGATGAGTAAAACTTCTAATTTTGGTTGATTACAGAACGAGTACATTTTTATACATACAAATATTTTTTATTTTTTATTTTTTATTTTTTCATTCAGGTAAAGGTCCAAGAATATCCAGTTACATGATTATGGATATGGATATATGTCAACACGTTGTGCCAAAAATTCAATCAACTTTTAATAGCATGTCAACAAATTATATCAAGTGAATTAATGAGTTCCTTTTTTTTTTCTTAATTTAAAAAATAAATAAAAAGAATACTTTGGTCCAACATGTAAATCAGTTAGCAATTTTTTTCTGTTAAAATTCGGCTATCTTACTAATTTTTAATCAGACTGCACTAATTATCACGCAAGAATTAGTAGTGATTACCATATGCATATACGAGTCAAATACTAATCTTTTATGCTTTGAAGTTTGAAATAACAATTATACGATTATTTAGCCTTGTGAAATCTATAATTTGTTATATGGCCATCTCGAGTTATATGGCCATCTCGAGTTATCTTGAACTGCAAACAGCAATCTTATAATTTGTACATTTCAACTTACCATGGACTGCAGTATAGTTAGCTAGCTTTTCATCATTCAACTAATATATTCTAATATAAGTATATGTGATTAATTTCAACAAATCTATACTTATATAATAAGAATTAATATTTATCCAAAATAGTAGGTTAAATTATGGTCAATGTCAGATTTGCATTAAATATTTTCCAAAACTGGTAAGTTTTTGTCCTTTTCACACTTCTCATTAATTATGTCCTTTTCACACTTCTCATAAATTCATTAATTATGACATAATTATCATAAATCATTCCATCTGAGCTTTTATCGTTAAAATGTATAGCGATATGTTATGACCTTATCCCATTGATATTTCCCATGAAGTGTTCGCGTTCTATTTTTTAGTAACCGCTCTATATCAATAACCGGATATTTGGTTAATGATAGCACGCGTCTTTATTTCAAGGAGCGGATATTCTTTAACCTTTAATTAATCTGAACTGATTGCCTTGACTTTTCAATTTTTAAAAACTCTCTTTTTAAATATTTCGGCTTAAGATTCGGATTTCATTATACAAGTCATCGGATTGTTTGAATGAAAATGAATGAAAAGAACACCAAAAACAGGTAGCTTTATCCATATAACCAATCCTAAAATATTAGTTTGTTCACCAAAAAGAGACAAATCCTAGAAATTCTAAAATATTAATTTGTTCACCAATCCTTAAAAATTAGTTTGTTCACCAAAAATATTAGTTTGATTTTTAGGATTTGTCTCTTTTGAAAATATTAGTTTGTGATAATGAGGAGTTACCAAATAATCAAACTCATAATGTTGTGTACAAGAAGGTTTTTAATAATATATGATTGTTACCGAACTTTTTATCATTCAACAATGTTCCTATGTATTTTAATAATTTTAATTTCGATCCTAATGCATGTGAGGTTATATTATTCTTCCAAATTTTACGTCCCCTGCATCGCACGAGTTACGTACTAGTACAACTTATTTTAATTTTCTTTTTTTTTCCTCAACAATAAATCATCCACCAGTGGTGCTAAGCAACTGTTGTGAATTGTAAAATCCTACACTACATCACATGTTAGAAAACTGTTGGTATCAAAATAATTTGTAGTTGTAATTGAAGAAGAATTATATTAGTGGAAATAATATTGGACAAGAGAATCTTAATTTTATTTTATGAAAAGATGAATATGAGGAGGAATTGTACTTAGTGACAAAGCGGCTTATTATTTGATCAATTCCCTTACATGCTCTAACACGTATTACACCCATATATATATACTAGTAATAAGGCATCATTTATTTTTTAACAATCAACTAATCAACAACTAACTACCAACTAATTCTTACTAACTTCCAATAATTTCTTTAATGAGCATCAATATTAGTTTCTAGAAAATGATCATTAATTTTTAACAAAAACACACAACACTTTACACCCCACAAANNNNTGAAAGAATCACAATGTCTAACTTAAACTCAATTGTTTGTAAATTGTAAAAATACCAAATGGCCAATCAAATCAATCAGAAGCAACTGAAATCCGTCCACTAGAGATACTCCCATGGCTTCCCTCACACAAGCCCAAGGCCCGCTCCAAATTCGCCACCACATCACTCATCGTGGGCCGATCCTTCCCTTCCAAATGCACGCAGTGCACCGCCGTGTACGCCACCAGCTCCACCGCCTCCGCCTCCTCCGGCCCAGGCGGGCCCACTCTCGAGTCCAAAACCCGGCCCAATTCCCCTCCCACCACTGCAGGCACCGCATAGTCCACCACACTAACTGGGCCCTCTTCCCCCGTCTTGAAAATGGCCCTCTTACCCGTCAGCAGCTCCAGCAGCACAACCCCAAGCCCGTAAACATCGCTCTTCGCAGTCAGCACGTTCAGCCCATAATACTCCGGGTCGATATACCCAACTGTCCCCGCCGCCTTCTCGGGCCTGTAAAACCCACCACCACCCTGCGGGCCCATCAGCGAAAGCCCGAAATCAGAAACCCGCGCGTCCCAATTCTCGTCCAGCAGTATGTTAGACGATTTAATGTCCCGGTGGATTATAGGCGGGACTGCGTAGCTATGGAGATACTCAACCCCGCGGGCCCCACCCAACGCTACCTTAATCCTCATTTTCCACGAATTTAAAACACTGCTACTCTTCTCCACGTTGTGCTTGCCGTGCAAGTGATCGTGGAGTGCCCCGTTTTTCATGTACTCGTAGACTAAAAGACGTTCGTCTTTCTCCTCGCAAAAACCGACCAGTCGGACCAAATGCTTGTGGTGGACACGGGACAAGAACGAGAGCTCGGATTCGAACGCGCTCTCCTTTTCTTGAAATTTCTTCGCTTTCCGCCCGTTTTCGCTTCTCTTGATGGCGACTTCGCGCCCGTCGCCCAGTTTGCCTCTGTACACGACACCGAAACTTCCGGAACCAATCTTGTTTTCGGACGAGAAGTCGTTCGTGGCTCGGGAAAGCTCGGAAAACGAGAATTCTTCGGCTCGGTTGGCGGATGAGGTGCCGCTCCTCTGGCGTCTCATGAGGAGGGAGCCCTGGCGGCGGAGGGTGGAGGAACGGGAGGGAGGGCCGCTTCCGGGCTGTGTTTGGGCTGAGTTTGGGCCTGCAATTGTTGGCTGGACTGAGTTGTGGATTTTCTTCTTCCCGAAGCATATGGTGCCTGTCCAGAGTAGATAGGCTAAGGCGCATATTCCGGCGGCTGAGCCGACTATGGCGAAAATCAATAAACCCTTTTTCAGTCCGGTGGAGCTGCCTGGCTGAGGAGTAATGACATCAACGTTTGGGGTTTTTGGGAGATTTGGTGGGCCCGGAGCTGGGATATCGCAAGGTCTGCAGACATGGCCGTTGCCGGAGCAAAGGGTCTGGGACTGAGGATAGAGATTGCATTCACAGGCCGTGTCGACACACGGTCCAGGAAGAGATTTGGGGATAGGGAGGAAGTTAGGGTACTGGTCGGGCCAGCCGGGGCCCCAGCAAACGACGGTGAAATTGGATGTGATTAAGCCGCAGGTGAAATCGGGGCCTGCGGAAATTGACTCGAAAGAGATCCCATCGATTGTTGAGTCACCGGAAAACTCGTCATCGTCGTCTCCGCCCCAACAGACCACCGTGCGGTTCAATCTTCGGATTGCGCAGCTGTGTTTGGCCCCTAGAGCGAGTCCTCTGTATTCGTATGCGTTGTTTGCAGGGACGTTCAGCTGTTTATTGCTGTTACTCCCTTTGCAGATTACATAGCCTGTGGCGTTAATCCCACAGGCGAATTTTTCGCCGACGATGATGCTTTTCATCGAATAGTTGGCGTACGCTAACTGTATCGAGCGTGAAATGGTGGAATTTCCCCAACAAACGACGCGATTAGCGTTCGCACGAATCCCGCAGGTAAATCCGAATCCAGATGAAATCACGCGAAATTGGGAATTTCCGTTAGGGATTTGGAATGAGGAGAACTCTTTGTTACCTCGCCAGCAAACGGCGGCGTTACCGTTACCCGAGGCGTTGACGCTTCGTAGGCCGCAGATTTGGGTGTCGCCAACGGCGATGGAGGTCAGGGGAGCCGACGCGTCGCCGTAGATCCTCTTCGGGGCGAAGGTCGTGTTCCAGCAGAGGAGGCTGAACCCGCCGGAGCGGAGGCCGCAGAGGGTGTCGCGGCCGCCAGAGACGGCGTCGAAGGAGATGGTCGGGAGGATCGGGGGGAGGAGTCGGCCGTCCCGCCAGCATTGGACTTGCTGGACGGGCTGCTGGGCGGCGACGGTGCAGACCGCGGTGGCGGAGCCGTAGACGACGGCGATGGTGGCGGATGTGGCGCCGAGGGCGTGCGCGGACGGCGGAGGCGGAGGAAGACAGATTGCGGCGAGGAGGAGGAGCAGGAGGGAGGCGGTGGCGGCGGCGGAGGAGACGGGGGGCGTCGTCGTCATGTAGATGGCGCCGCTACTGCCGCCATGGAATTTAATGGAGAGAGAGAGAAAGGAGCATAAAATGCACGTTGTGTGTAAATGGTCTACGGGCAGTCGGTCTCTGGTTAGCCTTTTTTGAAGAAAAAAAGAGCTTTTGGCTTCATTTTCGGTTATGTTTGTTTATCAATTTCTTTTGCCAAGTCCAAAAGTTTGGTGTGGGGGATTTTTCTATTTAAATTGAAGTTAATTTGTTTGCAATAGTCACAATTGATAATGATAGGGTTTTGTTATTCAAAATTTTGTGTCAATTTACTCAACACTTAGAGCATCCACAATGTCACCTCAGAAAAAGACCTAGCCTAAAAAAATAGATTCTCTAATACAAATAAAAGTAGATTGGATATGTAAAAGCCAGACAAAGAGACCCGGTCTACCCTTAAGTCTGACTTAATCTCTTTGCATTGGAATGGATTTTATCAATTTTATATAATTTTATCCATGACATCTAAAACTTGAGTTTATTTAAATGCCACATAGGCAAGACTAGACTCAATGCATTGTAGATGCTTTTAGGAAAATTTAGTCATCAAAATAACAAAAATGCATACTTATATGTCATACTTTTATTTGTATTGTGCATAATCATTAGTATGCACAAGAGTGCGATTTGGTGAAAAACTGCACTGAATCGCAAAAAAATAAAAAAACTAAACTGAACAAAAAGCAAATAATTGAACCACCGCAACTTAAAAAGTAACGAAGCAAAATTTGTTTACACTAAAATAATTGCACCGAACTGCACCAAAATGCATAGTTTGTCTCGACTTTAAGATTTATCTCGATATTTTCATACTTTTATTATCAATTTGGTGTGATTCAGTGCAAAACTCGCAACGAACCGAATAAAACCATATCGAACTATAAAAAACAATAACTGCACCATACTGCATAATATGAAAAAATCAAACTACATTTTCTTACATTAAAAAATAAACCGAAAAACAATAACCTCGAATTGTTAGGTTCGGCTCGATTTTTCAGTTTCTGCTCAGTTTTGCGCACCCCTAATTGTTAAAAAAGTCTACCCTTCATATTTATTGTCATACTTTTATTTATGTTGTGCATCATCGTTAGATAAGTCGACTCATCATATTTTGTTAACAAAAATATGTGTTCATTTGACACTTGTGTATATGTTATTTTTTAGAGTGTGATTTAATTTCAAAGCATGTAAATTTATTGAATAAGTATGACAAGTTGATCGATCAAATCTTGTTGACAAAAAATGCACTCATATAATCATATGTCAGACTTTCATTTATGTTGTTTTTGTTTTAATAAAAATGCACTCATATGTCAGACTTTTATATATGTTAATGTTCTTTTAAAATATGATATTTTAGTTTAGAAGTATGCAAATATATTAAACTAGGTATGGTTTAACCTTTGTGACTGTTGAACAACACTTTGCTGAATGATATAAAATTTATTGATAAAATGTCATTATATTCATAATGAGTTGATTAATTGTATAATAGTTCATTGATTTATTAATTTTAGAGTATTGAGAGTACATTTGGTTTGTAAGTCTATGGTTCTTTGGGCAAAATCAAATGCGAATCACGTTAGCTTGCGTATGTTCGACACTAAAAATATAATATAAATCACTTGATTCTAAGTGGGATGCACACGGTTAAGACTTAAGATGCACCTGATGAGCTGTGAGAAATATAATAATCTTTCATGTTTTCAGATGTGAGATTTGTTTATTACTTAGATTTTTTATTTTTTAAGAAAAGAAAGAATCTATTTTTTTATTATAAAAAGAAAATCAAAGAAAATAGAAGACATGTCGACATAATTTAATAGGAGAGAAGAAATGAAATCAACTACTAAAATTTTGATATTATAGTAGAGTTTGTTCCTCACCGATAATTATATATATATTTTTTAAAATAAATATGCATGCGTTCACAATTATCATACCTTATAAAATAACATAAATAAAAACATGATATTTGATTATATAATAGTTATTAATATTCAAAAAAATGAAAGATTGACTAGTCTATATCTCACACAAAAACTTGTGTAAATTAGCCGATGATAACTTATTTGAACAACCTTGAAGTGCAGAAATTGTTTAATTTTTTTTTTTATTATTTTTTATCTTTTGTGTGAGAGGTTTTCAATGTAATAAATAACCTTTAACTTAACATGTTTCATAAGTTCAGGTCAAATGAAGGAAGAGTTCAAGGTTTTGTTCAGTTTTTTCATAGTTCTTCAAGTTCTTGACGGCAAATTTTAGTAATTGACCATAAATTTGGTAATTTTTAACATAATTAAAAGTACCATTTTTTTAGTAAACTGGTGTCAAGAATTTTGATAAGTGAAAAACATTATCTTTATCTGTAAAACTGCAATGCAGTGTATGAGGAAAATAAGTCAGCCTCACTGTGAACTGTATCACACTTATTTAGGTATATGTCTAAATAGGCAATGCGTATAAAAGACTTGAGAGGCCAACTGAAAATGAACTTTTCCATTTTCATGGTGGGGTTGAGTTTTTTCTTTTCCATTGACAAACTTCACACTACTTTTTTTGTGTCTTTTCTTCATAAAGTATCATAATCTGGGAAATAGAAACTAGTATCATTGTGTTTGGGTTGAAAAACGACCGCACAATCTGAAAAGAGAGATTAAAAATGACGTTTTCAAGGTTATGTAATTTTAACAAATATATAATTTTTTCTATAACTGCAATGAGTATATATATCTGTGTGTTAAATTAATATCTGATTCTGCTAATAAATGAGTTTTAACTTTTAAGCACCCTATAACATACTCTTTAACTTTTCTCTTTCTTTTATTTTATTAACAAACAGTTCAGCAAACTTCACTCTGAAAAATTCATTCATTTTAACTTTTAATCCACAAAGGTACATTATGTACTTTAAGAACAAGAGTTTTTGCAAACGCTAAATTTAAGTAATGATCTCATATATATGAGGTCACAAAGCATAATAATCACATCAAGAATCTGCAAATTTCTTATCCTAAGGTGAAAGGCCTATTATGATATAGTTATAAAATAATTTGCTAGTCATACTAGCCCGTCTTTAGAAGAAAAGCTAAAAGAGTTTAATATAATATGGAGAATTCGACCCAATTATTTAGGGGTGTAAACGAGCCGAGCCGAGCTCGAGTTCTTAACAAGCTCATAATCGAGCTCGAGCTGACTCGTTGATCAATATTAACGAGCCGAAATCGAGTTTTAACGAGTCAAACTATAGAAAATTACATAAAAATCATCTTTTCGAGCCTCATCGACCCGAACAGCATGACTCATTAACCGAACGAGCTTTAAATGAGCTCGAGCTTTATCAAACGAACCGAGTCAAACTCACGAACGGCTCATTTAAATTTACAGCTCTCCATATCTAAGCTGAATTTCACTTTACTGATGTGAGCCTGATTTTTAGCCGTCAGATCAACACAAATCCACACAGTGTATTTTATATTTTACTGTTGGATTACACACTTTTGTGTGTGCTTGTGTTACTTCAAAGGTTAAAAAAAATTGAATTGTGAATAGCGAACATTGGTAGGATTGTAAAAAAAAAAATAACTTGGTGTGAATAGTGCACATTTGTAGGATGGAATTTTGCGTATAATACAAGTGCATTTTCCAGTTGTTTTTTTATCTTTCTCTGGACCTTTTTCTTACCTTTCGTGTTTTTGTTTTCTAACAGCTTTATGAACATGGCTTGCTGCAAAAAGGAACCAATTCAATCCGACAATACACTCCAAACCAAACCAAATCATAATGTCCAGACATTAAACAAATCAACTTGGTTTCTTTATGTCCATCATATATAATTTGATTGACACAAGGAAACATGGCCACCGAAAATAGTTAAAAGCGCATAACAAATTCGAGCTTTTGTCGCTAGGCATTTAATTCCAACTTGTTGCATTTAATTTCAACTTACTGCAGTCATCGAATTTTTTACTCTTTAATTTCCAGAATTTGCATCCTCATGAACCTTTTTTGCATTTCTAATCTTTATTTGGTCCATTTTTGAGGAAAAAGTGATGGATGAATAACGTATCGTACCAATTTATTTATTTCCNNNTGGCTCGACATGAGCCCGGGACCGTCCCAACAGATAAAAAGTGCACCTGCTGTATATCCATTTATCTTCTCTTAAAAAGATATTCCCAGGAAAAAAGAAAAAAATTGTATCTATTCTTAAGCAAACACCATCAGGAATTAGATTTTGACATGGAGAGACAATTATTTCAATCAAATTTCACAAACCTATATTATACAGGGGACGTAACAAACCGGCTTGCATCCACAGCACAGAATTCATCGTAACAAACAGCATACAAACTGTAGAAGACAAATAGACGCTAATAATATTACACAAGAATCCTTTTACTTCTTTTCACAATTGTACTTACTCGATTGACCGTAGCTCGATAAGCACTTTGAGATAATTATAATTCCACCTGGCGCTGCTTTCAATTCATTCGCTGGGCAATGGCTATACAAAATTTCGTGACCCAGTCAAGAGAGATTGCCTTGTGGAAAGATTAAATTTTTCATGGGTGGTTATAGTTTATACTTGTTGTGTATATATCTTATGTCCACCCTGAAGCTGGAATTCCGTGCTTTTGAAACCACTCGGGCATGTGGAATCTTTCGTAGAGAATGGGCCGTACATCCTTTTGTAGAGAGAGCTGCTTGATCAAAGGAAGGATAACTTCCAAAAGCTGCGTGTGTATAAACAAAAGTTAGTTACAAAGACTACCTATAAATTTGGCCTAATTGTGGAAAATCCGAATTATATTACAAAACTGCAGACAGACCCTTGATGCCATTTGTAGATATTAACAAATATAAGCATGATTGGATATGAATCCAACTGGTTGTGGTTGGATTTGGATGGTTAAAGTGGGTTATTTTGAATAAAGATTGAGTGAATGATTTTGAGTTTGTAATTAAATAATATATAAAACATATATAAAACGTAATGATTAAAGTTGATGTGATGCAAAAGTATGAGGGAAGTAGTTGGAAGTGATAAGTAGTTAAATTTATGTGAGTGGATGAATAGTGAATTAAAACTGATGTGATGTGTGAGGAGGATTGATTGATATTATTTAATTATATTGAAAATATTGAGTAGGGTAGGGTTGGGTTGAATTTTGAGTTGGAAAATATAAAACAAAATAACTCAATCGTCAAAACCGATTATGCCTCATATTTAAACGTGCCCTAAGTAACTTGGAAGAGGATTAAAGGAAAAAAAAAATAAAAAAGTAAATAAAAAAAAAAAAAAGTGACCTTGAGGCAAGTTAATTGAGATGAAGACTGGACATATGAAGTTTTTGTTAAGGCTGTATGGTTACCTGCTCATCATGAGGTTGTCCGGGAGAAAATGGTATGCAAGGAATTCCGTTTGATGGTTGCAACAAGAAACTGAAAGGGTTATTGTCGACAATGACTATTCGACAAAAATCCTTTGACAAGCAAGATAAATCCTTTACATGTTCGCGGTACTCCCTGTGATTTATGCAAACAAAGTTAGATGGGAGTAGCATAATGAGTTGACCAAGTCAAAGAACACAATTTTAGTGAGATAAATTTCTACAACAAATAACAGCCTTAGAAGTTAGAACAAATCAAATCAGGCCAAAATATAAATCCAAGTTCAATTGAATTTCTTAATGGGACCATGAACGGTTTTGAGATCTGTGTTACATCTCAATAATTAGAGCCTCTCAACTACATTTAAATTACTTGAAGCAAAATCAAGTCTACTTTGTATTATGCTTCAAGATATGTACAGAATAAGTCATACTTTTGTTGACATTGAGCTCAACCTCAAGCCTGACGTGTTGAAGTGCTCATACATAACCAGTTTGATTTGTTAATAATTATACATAGATGCAACACTTATTTGCTAACAGTTGCTAGCTGCCCTGAATATATTATTTGAGGGGGAAAAAAATGTGTTGAGTTGATTGCATATTTCAGCATTTTAATAAAAACTTAGCACCAGGTAAATCGTAAATATGTGAAATCGGTAACAAACATACTACAGGTGAGGGCCGCTTTGAAAATATTACTGGAATATATTACGGCACATATATTTTTATAATAATTAAGTTTATTAAACACCTATAAGGCTATAAATCATACATGAAAGCAAATCTAGCTAATCATTCATAAAGGGACTGTTAAATATGCCTTTCCAACAAGAAAAGGCAACATAATCCAGGATATCACACAACTAACTGAAATAATTAACACAGATTAAGAAATATAAAATAAAATGAACAAATAAATCAATAAATTGGTAACCGCAACTCCAACACAAATATCAGGTAGCCCTGAGGTAGACCCGTATAAGAAGTTAAGAACAGAACACTTACGTGCTAATTGTAGAAGGCCGATATAGTCTCCGACTGAATCTATTTTCAGCGTCTATTCTATCAACAAGAGGTCTAGCATAGCCTGCAAGAAACAGAAATATCCACACACACACAACGTGTAAATATCAATCAATTGCAGCAGATAAGAAGGAAGATAGGGCATCATAAAACACAAACCTTCAAGTCCGGCTGTAAATAATACAAGATCAGCAAATTCACTTAGTTGTTTTAGAAATTCCTTCAGTCCAGGGCGTTCAAACACTGTCACATAGTTGATCTTAGGCTTGCCTTCAATTTCCTTGAAATTCCACCCAGAGATAGATAGTATAAAAACATTGATCAGAGTTTGAACTAAAGTTACTTTTGGTTCATGGTTGATGATTAGCAGAATAGAAGCTTGCTTACCTTGTCAGAGGAAATGCATTCGAGTTCAAACCATTTTATACCAGCCTCTGTGGCTTGACTACGCAAGAGAGCTGGTAAGCTTGATGTCTCATATGCACAAACCAGAGTTTCATCTAAATCAAGAACCACCTGCATGCAGTAAACGGATAATGAATACCTTAGTGAGTAGGTTAAAATAAGCTTTAAAAAAACATTTGGCAATTGACAACCTAGTGCTAATGAAATAAATAGTTCTAAACAACATGCACTCAATTGATAAGTTCCTTCACATACTTTTTAGGCATCTACGAGACTCCGACAAAAGGTAAGCAACAACTATCAGGTCCAAAGTAGTAAGGAATCATTGTGAAGTCCTATTCCTAATCGGTTGAGCCAAAAATAGCATATTGAAATTCTAGAAAATCTAGGTGCAACTTCAAATGAACTTGTGTCGTTGTAAAATTGTCCCAGAAAATAGATAAATTGTAAGTGCAACACTGTCATCAAAGTAATAAAAACCCACGTTTGCATACACTTTCATATTTTGTATTTGTATTAATTTTTAACATGATCTATGGCCTTATACAAGGAGCTGTTTTGGTGCTCATCATAGACATTAGTTCTCTGTCTCGATCAACAATATTTCAACACTTGAACTTTAAGATCACTTATATTTTCTTCTATCCGCTAAAAAACAAAAACTGCTATCCACCACACTTAACACTATAAGCTCTGTGGATAAGTGGGCCTCTGCTGTTGCTACCTCTCAACAACAATGCTTTAGTGGAAGTCTATTTACACCCTTCCACACACAAACAATCTATGCAATATTGCAACAGGCAATAGTAGTACCACAATTAAATTTTATATCATTCTAAATGTACTCCTCTGCTTAATATATCGACACAGCTGAGTTATCAGACCTATCTAACTCTTTTCGTACTTACAAGACATCCCAGAAGTTAGATTCTTGTTAATATAGTGACAACAGAAACATAAGACTTGAACACTAGAGACACATTCTGATGAAAACCAATCACAAAATACTCCTCCAGCCAAACCAACGGTATGTCCCCATGTCACTCTAGACACACATTTTGAAGAAAACCAATCACAAAATACTCCTCCAGCCAAACCAATGGTATGTCTAGGCCAATAGTTCGACCTTTTAGAATAAAGATCACATCTTTTGGAACAAAGACGGCATCAGACAATATTTTCCATTTCATTCCAGGGTAACAGTAGTTAGAACTCTAAACTCCAAGCAAGGATTAGTCCTTTTCTCTTTAGTAAATAAAATCCATGATTTAGAGGGAAGATGCAAATCAAACTAGAAGATTCACCAAATCCCTCTTGTTTCTCGATTCAACTGAACAAAACTATGAATTCAAAACATATTAGTTGAATCTAAGTAGCTTATATCAGCTTCCTTTTAGGTATCACTTACTAAATTGGCTGAACAAACTAATCAACAACAAAAATCCACGGATATCACTTGGCAAAGTCAACAAGAAACAATTAGAGCAACTAAGTTTGTGCATTTATCACTCACTAACCAATCAAATTTAAATATCTTTAAAAACTTCACACTCAGAACCAGGTCAAGTTACCGTTAGCTTCTCCAGAGGTGAAGGATCCATCACCCTCTCCCCACCACCAGAGACCGGAACGGCGACCGGATTCAATCGCCGCGGACGAGGCGCCTCTTCTGGTTCCTCCCCGAACTCCGACAGCTCGACCACAGGCAGGGGCTTGAACTGCGATGGCGCGTGTTGAGCAGACGAGATGAAAGGCCCTCCTTGGCGCAGGCCGACATAGGAGAGGACCTGATTAAACGACGGCGTCCCGCGGAGGATCTGAGCGAAGATCTGGAAGAAGAACGCCATCCAGTTGAGCAGTGTCCTCCACACCTGTATCGTACGCGGCGCGTACACCTCAGCCGCCGCCAGCTCCTCCATAGCCAGAGTATGCACGGACGGTAATGATCACCGGATGCAGGCTCCCTTTCGCCGGGGTTAATCACCGTCGTCTTTGTATCGGCTCGTTTACCGGCGACTGGTTTGCGTGTGAGTGTATTCAGTGTGTGTTGTGCGCTTTTTTCTGAGGCGGACGGAAGAATTCGATCGAGCTCGGTATCTCTGATTGGTGATTTGTGGAGAGATTAAAAATAAAAAGGGAAGCGTGAGAGCCACGCGTGTAGGCAGAGAGTGGGGATAAGTGGACAAACACAGTAAATTAATTATGTTAGTACAGTTGGAATTTGTCCTTTTTGTAGTGTTTCTTTAGCTTTTTCTTTTGAGCTTGTTCATATTCACGCCATTGGGTTTAAGAATCCATTCATTACCTTTCACCGTTTTTCTTTAGATATTTTCTTCTTTTATTTGTTTTCCCTTGCAAAATGCAGATTTTCTTTTGGGCATTTTGAAATAATTGGGTCTCACATATAAATTGCCAACTTAATTTTTTTTAATCAAATCATAGTACGTATAGTTAATGATTTTTTGTTTTACATGTTAATTTATAGTAGAAATTGTAAATAAAAAGAAAGATTCTTAAAATATATACTCAAATGTAAGGTTCAAGAAAAAAAAAATAATATAATAATATCCAACTTTTGTTAGCAAACATGACAATTAGGTAATCTTATTTTTTCAACATATATATATTTTTTCAAACTGAAAGGTTCAACTTAAAAAAATATTATAAACAAAAACATGACATTACATTACATAAATATGCAATTTTAAAAACATATTATGACGGTCGACTCATGGTTAGACCAACCCTATACTATAATTTGTGCATTTTATAAAAATAGTTATTTTGCAACAGTTTTCTGTTAGGTCCACCTTATAATTAAACTAGTAATCAACCTGTGCATTTGCACAGATACAAATTCATAGAAAAGAAAATAAGAAAAACAAAAATAATAAATCATAATTTAATTCAAGAAAAAATGTTAATTAAGAAATGAATTCTAAATATTATTAAAAAATATTTTATATACAACATTTATATTTTATATACAATATTTTAATATAACACCATAGAAAATTTGACATCTCTTGATTAGGTAATGCTTTTTAGTTAAATGACATTAGTACCATAATATTGCACCATAACATTTGGATTGAGAATAAGAAAAAATATATAAAATTCGAATATGGCAACATGGTAATGAGATATATTGATGTTTGAAATATAATTCATTATTAATGATTTATACAATTAGATATATTATTTTTCTTGTAGATGGATATATATATATATATATCGAAATAGATGATTGGGTATTTTTAGTTTTATTTCTTAATTACTAGTGTGTACCCCGTGCGATGCACGGAAACAATATTATAAATAGACCTCGAGTTTGAGTCACTCAATGGCGGAAGTGGAAACTACTATTGATCCTATTTAAAAAGAGGAAGAAAAAAAATAATTACAAATTAAAGAGGAGGATAAACAATACTTAATAATTATAAATTAAAGATTCGGGGTCAAACAATGTAAAATTATTTTGTATAAGAGAATATAAAAAAATTTGATTAGACAGCATTTCAAAATTATTATTATACTTTTTTGTATGGTTAGCTTATAATATTTGTAAAAATATTAGTAATTAGACCGATGAAAATTAGCTTCTTAAAGTAGATAATGGATTTCTAGTAATAATTATGAATTGGTTTCTATTTTATTTTATTTTTTCTTTTTAAAGACTTTCATCTTCTTAAAGTAGATAATGGATTTATAGTAGTAATTATGAATTGGTTTATATTTTATTTTATTTTTTCTTTTTAAAGATAGTAGATTTCTAGTAGTAATTATGAATTGGTTTCTATTTTATTTTATTTTTTCAAATTTGTATAGATAAGGGATGAGATTTTTTAAGCACGTGAGATATATGCAATGGGATCTTGTAACAGAAGAGATAAACTCGTGTAGATTTATACTAAAAATATGAAAAAGAAAAACAAATATTTACTGTCAACCAACGGTTTTGATCAACTAAAAAACAGCACAAAGAGAAACAAATCTTTACACAATTAATGTGCCGATTTTTTTGCCTATTCAGATTTGTCCAACAATTACTATATGTAGGATATATTTAATGATTTTGGCGGGAAAAAGTTTCTAAATTTGTAAAAAGGTTATTCTTTTTATATAATGATAGATTTGATTTTGTAATTTTGGAATCTGAATTATTGTGTGAATCACTTTTACTTACTCAAGCATAAAATTTTTTTGAATATATATATATATATATAATACATATATAAATAATTATTTTGTTACATTCATTCAACAAATAAATAAAGTGAAAAGGAAATAGGCATTAATCCTGTCAGATCATATCGAAGAATGAGCATTACATCATTTTGGAATCTGAATTATTGTATAAAACTATTTTTATGTAATCAAAGATAAATGAATTTTGAAAAGGAAATAAGTATGAATTCTTCCAGATCAGATCAAATAATGATTGTTACATAATGTAATTGATGGGGAGAGGTGATAAAAAACGTTACACAATTGAGATGAGTAAAGAGAAAAAGAAAAAATAAATAAATTACATATTTTGTAACCGAATGTAACAATTTTAGGTGGTATGTGAAAACTAATGAAAGTGAAAGTTGAAAATTTTGGAGGGATAATAAAATTTAATACAGAAACTAATAAAATTGAATGTTGAAAGTTTTGGAGGGATAATAAAATTTAATGCATGACAATATAAATTAATGTTTTGCTACTCCTCTTTATATATATATATAGATGATATACTCTTCTCACAAGTATGTCCAGTTTCATTAATAATTGTGATGCTTTAAAGAATAACATAAATAAAAACATGACATTTTATAGTATATGTATGCATTTTATTTTTCACTGCTATATTATCCTATACAAGAAATGTGTCAGTATTGCATTTTTCAAGATGGTCTATAGTTGGGAATGAAATATGGGTTATAAGTATTGGAAAATTAAATGATCAATTATCATTGTCCTCTTTCATTTACACTACTATTCGATCATGTGCATTTGGACAAGTATAAATAAAATATTATAAGTTATTTATATGCATATATTAAAATTATAAATTAGATAATGGTATTAAATTATAAACATAGGGTAGACATAGCCACGGGCCGGCCCGTCCCACAATCGGCCCGTAGGTTGCCGGTTCCGAGAACCGTAACCGTGACTTTACGGGTCGCTTCCGAGTCCGATTTTTTTATTTTTGGTCCCAGCGGTCCGGGACCGGGTCGAGGTCGGGCCGGGACAGGGCCGGTTCACGGGCCTGGCCCTTGATTTTTGGCGGGCCGGTTAAGATTCACCCATGGGAGGCCCGTCGGGTCGGCCGTGCCCCGGCCCGTTGACTGGCCATGTCTAACATAGAGTATTATAAGTTATATTTATCCATATAATATTCAAATTTTTAAATATATTGCAGGACCATTTTGCAGGAGGGGTTTATTTTATGGATTTGATTTTTATAAAATATTTGATGTATCTTTGTAATATTCGAGAAAATATTTTTTTATTATTGTATGACTATAATATAAAATAGAGATATTTGTTGTCATTCTTAATTAGTTGTGAAATATGTATTTATATAATAATAAAATATATATAGTATCAAAATAAAAATAAAAATATTTTGTATTTTAGGACATAGAAATGCGTTACAAAAATGAGCACCACCCAAAATGAGACATGTCAAAATAAATCGTGTAACTGAAAGTTACATATTTTTATTAAACGGTGAACACATTTTTATTAAATGGACACCTATTTTTATTAAATGAACTACTATTATTATTAATTGACGGTTGAATAAAGTTTCATGAAGTTTGCCAGCAATTATATATGTATATATATATATAGGCCGTGCTTAGATACAAATATATCCACTTAAAATGAGTTTTTTTGGTTAATTAGAGTTAATTTTGAAAAACGTGGTGTAGGTAGTTGTTCGTGGGATTTTGAGTTTATAACAAACAACAACAACAACAACATACCTAGTATATTCCCAACAGATTGGGGTCTGGGGGGTCAGTTGTACGCAGACCTTACCCTTGTAATTATACAAGGAGGCTGTCTCCGTAGCGACTCAAGGTGCATTGCGCCGTTTGATATTTTTTTTTTTCTAGAAACTTCACTAATAGAAGAAGCACTAGAATTTAAAATAATATTTAAAAGAAAATAAGTAAAGTTGATTTGATGTAAAAGTTATTCGAAAAAAAAAAACAATATATAAATATATGATCGAACGAAAAAATCTTACAGAGTTTTTTAGCAAGACAAGAATCTTCAATTACCTGTTATTCGTTTATTTATTTTTTTCAGAATGACCCTTATTTAGTTATTTATAAATAGAAGGTAATACTAATTAAATCAATTAGTTAAAGAAATTAAACTAATTAAAAAATACGACAAAATTGGACATATAATTCTAGGGAAAAATTTTTTTAACCTCCCAAAGTATGTCGTTTTTTTGACTTTGCCATATAAACTTTTTTTTTTTGACAATTTGCCTCCCAATGTAATCGAAACTGACAGTTTGCCTCCTCGATTGAAAACCCTAATATGGTACAAAAAAGTTTTTAACTCAATTAATGATGAATTTTAAATTAATCTCTGAAATTGATTTAGGGCTTTTAAAGCCCATGGCGAGACGAACAAAATGAGATATGATTTGTCGATTTCTGAAAATTGATACCTCCAAAATCGATCCACGAAGATAGCAGGAGCACGTGTGTATAGAAAAAATTTCAATTCAAGTTTTCTCATAATCAAGATATCCGATTTTCGATTGAGATGTGTCATTTGAAAGCTTGAAGGACGAGTTTTCTATCGAAGTAAATGTTATAAAAATCCAACGGTCGAATTTTGGTTAGTAGCCTAAAAAAAAGCTAACTATTGATCAATAGTATTCTAAATACGGATCAAAATCCGACCGTTGGATTTTCATAAGATTTATATGTTAGAAAATTGGTTCTACTAGCTTTCAAATGACACCTCCCAATCGAAAATCGGATATTTTGATCGTCAAAAAACATGAATTGAAATTTTTTTCTATACACACGTGCTCCTACTATCTTCGTGGATCGATTATAGAAGTATCAATTTTCAGAATTTGACATATTATACCTCATTTTGTTCGTCTCGCCATGTGCTTTAAAAGCCCTAAATCAATTTTAAAGATTAGTTTAAAATTCATCATTAATTGACTTAAAAACTCTTTTATGCCATATTAGGGTTTTTAATCGAGGAGGCAAACTGTCAGTTTCGATTACATTGGGAGGCAAATTGTCAAAAAAAAAAGATTATATGGCGAAGTCAAAAAATCGGCATACTTTGGGAGGTTAAAAAAATTTTTCCCATAATTCTATGTATAGGAAGAGACCATTGATTGAGTCGTAGGTCCAAGTTCAAAGTCCAGCCCAAGTTGGAGATGAATGAAGACAAGGCCAATTTGTAAGATGGGACAAAAACCTGGGGAAAAAAATGTGGTATTCTTCTAACAATGAGAAGGGACATTTTTTTTTTTCTACTTTGGTAGCTTTTTTTGACTTTGTAGATCCCTAGTTAGTTGTTCCTCTTATCCACTAAAAATTAGTGCAGTCAAAGTAATAAAATTAAATGAGTCAAGTCTGTATCAAGTAGAGAAGATTGGAGTCTACTACCAAAAAACATATAAAAAGCATCCTCATACAATACAAAGACTTTGATTTCAAATTTTGAACGTAATTGACCGCCTCCACTTTAATTCTTTGAATATCTCTCACTAATTCCATTTCCAACTTAAAGAACATTTAAATTTGAATAATGGAAAAACCAATTAATTAGCAATGCTGGAAAAACCAGATTTGTACCAATTAAAAACACACAAGCCTATATAGTTAGAATCATGATACAGATCAAACAATGAACTTTGGATCAACTATATCTATCAAATTGAAGGTTAAAAAGAAAAAAAAAAAAAATAGACCTCATGAATCATATGAGCAGGAAAACCAAGGGTGATCCAATGCCTCTCTTGCGGTGGGTCGTCTCGTTGGATTAATCTCGAGCAAATGTGTTAAAAAGTNAAACAATTCGTAAATTTATGATTTCATCGAACTAGATTGCTCGTGTGACCAAATAAATGTACAGAGACTTACTTCGTTTATTTGGTACAGATCGTATTCTTTCGTAAAATACTTGTGCGTGTCTCGACCATTTCGCAGCATATTCGTGTCGATAGGACCAAATATCCCAATCATTCGTGCAAGAAGCATTCCAACTGGCTCGTTCGGAAAAAGCACCTGTCGTAAATTGGAATTTTGTCATAACCGACAAAGGCTATATTTGGTAAACATAACTAATAAACTAGCTTATAGCTTTCAAGTAAATTTCGAGATTATAGCTGATAGCTTATGACTTATGGCTGAAAAGCTAGCTTATATGGTAAAAGTGTTCGGTAAAATTAGCTGATAAGCAAAATAAAATTTTAATGGGCTTATTTGAAAAGCCACTCAATTAAGCTTATGAGATAAGTTCGGGCTTTTTAAATGAGTTCGTCGTACCAAACTAAGCTTATTTGAGTACATGAAACTTATAAGTTAGTCAAATAAGCTATAAGCTAGCTTATATGCTTACCAAACACAATCTAAAAAGTAAAATGTCAAGGATAATTTTTGAAATATTTGAAACATACCTCGCCAGAATAAAGTTCGGTCAAAATGCATCCAACCGACCACAAGTCAATCTTGTGGTCGTAAGGGAGGCTTATAATGACTTCCGGAGCTCGATACGAACGAGATTGTACGTACAAAGACAACTCATCTGTCTCGAAGCAACTACTGCCGAAATCAATAACCTTAATCTCGCACGTTTTGTAGCTTTTGATCAGTATATTTTCCGGTTTCAGATCACAATGTATAATTCCCAAGTCGTGCAAATATGCTAACGCCTCTAAAATCTGTCGGGTTATGATCTGCATCATCCACAAAACATCGTATTTTTCTAAATTAAAATGTTAAAAAAAAAAAAAAGAACAGGTAGAGCACGATTTTTCATTAACATTACCTGCAGATTTCGGAGAGTAAAATACTGCTTGTCACCGGATTCTCGATTGTATTTCTGGAATTCGTAAAGGTTTGCACACAGAAGCTCGGTAACGATGATTAAATGCTCCTGCCATTTAATTTAACACCATAAAACTCGATTTTTAACTCGATTTTTTACCACTCACTTGATTTGTTTTGTATCGTAATTTGTTACCTGATGGTAGAAATATTCGTAAAGGCGTAAAATATGTCGCTCGTCTGCAGGATCATGGTAGTTGACAAATTTCAGAAGCTTGATCTCATCCAAGCTTTGATCGAAAAAATCCTTACTGTTGTTAATGATTTTCAGACAAACATCGATTCCCGTGCAAAGATCGTGCGCCTGAACAACTCGGCTGAAAGCAGTCGATCCTAGGAATTTCTCAACGTGATATCGGCCAGCTATTACACTGTTTAAAACTATAGGGAAATCCTTATTTTCTTCAAAACCTGTCCTGTTAACAGCATAACTAATTAGATAATCTTTTTTTTTCTAAAAAAAGGAAATAAAGAAAATGTGTGAGAAATTCTAACATTAAAGTTAATTGCAATTTGCAAGGTAGAAACAGAAACAAACACTAATAACAAACCTGTTTTTCCTGTGTATAATTCTCAAGTCGAATATATCAAATTCTTTTTCGATTTGAATCTGCTCGTTACATTTATCGAAATCACTAAAGTGACTTTCTTCTTCGAGTGGTTCCAATTCATCGTAATCTTCGTAAGTTTTATGGTTTGAATGGTTAGTGCATTCTTCAGACACTTCATGTTGGTCTTCAGACATTATAAACTTATCTTCACTCGGGTCAAACAGGTCAAACTGCATATCCAAATCGAGATAATTTCGAGCCGAGCCAAATTGGGACAGTCTATCGGACGAGGCTTGAGAAGCTGTTAATTCCAATAAAGAAAAATATTAGGCCAACTTATTCGACGAAACAAGCAAAAGTTCAATGTCAAATTATCGGGATATTACGAAAAGAAAACCACATTTCATCACATTAATAAAGTAGAGAAAGAAAATCTAACAATTGCGTAAAAGATCACAAGACCCAATTCTACAGAAACAGGACAAGAAAAAAAGTTAACTACACTACTCGGTCGAATATTTCTCTTACATTAAATTTATCTTTGAAGTTGATATCATAATGTGTCAAATTTACTCGGTCTAACATGAATCTAGTTCTAGTAGGTAATATCTCTACACATAAGCTACATCTAACAAAGAA